TCCGAGGAGATGGCCCGCCTCCGAAGCGAGCAGCGGTGTCCGGTGCGGTCGCCCCTGCTACCTCTCCGCCCTATCCTGGACCGGGACGGCCTGCTGCGAGTGGGGGGACGCCTGCAGGAGGCGCTCCTTCCGTTCGCCGAGAAGCACCCGCTCATCCTCGCGAAGGAGAACTATCTCTCGCTCCTCCTGGTGCGAGAGGCTCACGCCAATTCGCTGCACGGAGGACCGCAGCTGACCCGTAGTCTGCTCCTGAGGCGTTATTGGATTCTGCGAGCAAATTCGCTGGTCCGGTCGGTCATTCACGCCTGCCTGCGCTGTACTCGATTCCGAGGTGCCACCGCAGAGCAGCAGATGGGCCAATTGCCGGCGGAGCGCGCGCGACCCGGCCGCCCCTTCTCCACTGCTGGAGTGGATTACGCCGGCCCTGTGCCCCTCCGAACCTCTAAAGGACGCGGCCACAAGGCCATTAAGGGCTATATATGTCTATTTGTGTGTCTGTCGTCCAAGGCGCTTCACTTGGAAGCGGTCTCTGATCTCTCCTCCGCCTCATTTTTAGCCGCCTTCAGACGGTTCATCTCCCGTCGAGGTCACTGCCGGCGCCTCCTGAGCGACAACGGGACGAATTTCCGAGGCGCCGACAGGAAACTCAGAGGCATGTTCCGCGCAGCGTCCGAGTTTTACAAGGAGTGTGCATCGAGCCTCGCCAACGACGGTACGGACTGGGCCTTCATACCGCCTGGCGCTCCTCACTTCGGAGGCCTTTGGGAGGCCGGCGTCAAGGCCGTGAAATACCATCTGCGACGCATCGTCGGGGATACCTGCCTCACCTTCGAGGAGATGGCCACCTTGTTGGCCCAGATTGAGGCCTGCCTCAACTCCCGGCCGCTGTATGCGCTCAGCAACAACTCTTCGGACCTTGTAGCCCTTACACCGGGGCACCTTCTGGTCGGGGAACCGTTGGCGGCTATACCGGAGCCTCCGCACGCCGAACACAATCATGGCGGACTAGCGACGCGCTGGGCGCTGACGTCTGCCATGCGGGACCAGTTCTGGCGCAGATGGTCCAATGAGTACATCCATCATCTGCAGCAGCTGAAGCGTTGGAGGAGACAGGCGCCCAACATAGCCGTAGGCGACTTGGTCCTGCTCAAGCACGAGTTGCAGCCTCCGACGAAGTGGGCGCTCGCTCGCGTGGTCGACACCCACCCGGGTTCCGATGGGCTCGTCAGGGTGGCCACCATTACCCCCTCGCGTGGGCCACCTTGACGTGGTGAGGGGGCTTAAGGCGGGCAATCCGGATGTCTCCGGAGGGCCCGCCGACTAAGAGCCCACATGGCCAAGGAGTGGCCAAGCCGGGAAACCGGCCGAGGAGGGCGGGGAAGCGGTGTCCCACGGACTGTTGTCCGGAGGGGCACCGTGGACCCGCGGCGTGTCCCCGGAACCATGCTTCATGGTTTCGGGGACGACCTCCGGTGTCCGCGGACTATT